AATTTTTGCTGTTTACTCCTTCACTCACTAAGAACCCTAAGGGATAGAGCTTGTGGGTCAAAGTCCTGAGACAGGGAGGCAGACCAGAACCTAAACACCTGGACTTGTCTTGACCTTCCCTGCTGGGCTGAGTCTGCTCTGAGTGAACATTTTTTGTCTGGAAGACGGTGTTGCTCAGAGTTGTCTGCATCTTGGGGTGCAACTTGAAAAGATATAGCTAGAGAGAGGAAAGCATGAATGAAAAGCTGCTTTTGTGAAAAGGGGACATTCAAATGCACCCTAACAGCTGATTATAAGGCCCTCTTCTAAGTATTTGTCTAACTACTTTTAGAACCATGTTAAAAAGGAACACACTCCCATACTGTTGGGTTGTTGGAAAAGTCATGACACATTTTTTCTAAAGAATTACTTTATTTAACATTAGTTATTTATTTTAATTTGACCAGGGAGGGAGGGAGGGAGGCATCAGAGAGAGAGAGAGCTAGAAAGTGAAAAAGCAAGTCACCAGGTCCAGGACTTGAACCGCGGTAAGCCATGTGGGAGTCCAGCGCCCTTAACCACCACGCCACCTGCTGGCCCCATGACATTACATTTAGATCTTTTTAAGAGAGATTTTTGCTATAGGAGGGTGCATGTGCTCACCAGAGAGATGAAAAGTGAGAAATCACCCCCTGGGCTCACCCATATACACACCTAGTATGAGTTTTAGCTGCCAGTTCTGGGACTCAAACCATGGTCCACTACATGGGAGTCCAGCGACATAACCATTACACCACCTGCTGGTTCTTTATGACAGTTTTACATAGGAAATAAATAAGTCATGACTCTCCCGACAACCCGATACATAGGCACAAACAGGCAGAGAGGCCCACATCGTCTTTCCAAGGGGCAAAGGGGTCAAACATGTCATGCCACTTGTTGGGCCTGAGCACAAAGGGACACAGGCTGGTCGGGAACCTGATTTGAGAATAAGCACTAACAGGATATAGCCCACATACCTGGTGCTTTCCTGAGCACTTTGCATGTACTAACTCCCCTAACTCTCACGATAGCTGTGCAGTACAACTATTCCCATTTTATAATTACTATTGCTTTTGCTAGAGGGTGTGTGTGCTTGCCAGAGGTTGAGAGAGGGAGAGGAAACCACCCATGCCCATGGGGAATTGTCACGCTGCATATCTTTTCCTCCATCTCTCCTGTTTTTTGGGATTTGGGGTATGAACGCACGTGTCTGGTGTGTTCTCAAGCTGCCAGGTTCAGAACTTGAACCGTGCAGTCAGCTACGTGGGATCCAGCTGCCTTAATCACCAGGCCACAGAACCAGCCTGAACTGTCGCCATTTTAAAATACGAGACCGAGGCATGGAGAAGTGGTTGTGCTCACAGACACAGCACACAAGCCAATGCGGTGGGACAGGAACCCAGACAGTCCATGGGCCTCCATCACTACACTGTACATGCTCCGCAAAGGTGTGATTCAAAGTTCCTGGGGCCAGAGGTGGCATAATGGTTACTCTGCTGGATCCACATGTAGTCGACCACAGTTCAAATCCCGGACCCAGCAGCTTGAAACTCACGCTGGGTGTGTGTGCCCAAAATCCCGAGAGGAGAATGGAGAAGGAATTGCAGTGTGGTCATCCCCCTGGGGGGTGACTTCTCACTGTGTGTCTCTCCCTGTCTCTCTGGAGAGCACATGTGCCCTATAGCAAAAAAAAAAAAAAGAAAAAAAAAGTTCCTTTGAGCAGGTTCAAGTGGCCCAACAGATTGATGTTCTTGGGGGTCACCTGGGAAGAGGTGGTTTAAGCATGTGGAGTTGCTCCTCCATCTGGCTGCCCTAAAAAGCTGAGTCATTGGGGCCAGCAGGTGGCGTGGTGGTGAAGGGCTCTGGATTCAACTGCAGTTTGAGTTCTGGACCTGGCAGCTTTCTTTCTCTCTCTCTCACTCTCTCTCTCTCTCACTCTGTTTCTCTCTGGCCAAATTAAAATAAATAAATAAAGTTAAATAAAATAATTCTTAAAAAAAAGCGCTGCGTCTTTGAGTACTAATCCCAAGCTCCAAACACCCATAGTAGAGAATTGAGGCAACCACATTCTGGGATTGGAATCCAAATTGCTATTTGTAATAGGCCCCATCGGGCCTGTGATTTGAGCTAACTCCTTATTCCATGGTCTTGCCCAGAAGTTAAGATGGCTCCTGTATTACATGTAGAGCTGGAAATGTCCAGGTCAGAACAGCGATCCGTTTCTTCAGAGGCCTGGAAACAGACTTCCAGTGTGAACTTGCAGGATAATCCTAAAGAGTCTTCTAAATACTCTAATTGTGCTGGAATGTCATTGAAAATGAAGTTACATAAAAGAATGGACTGGGTGTGGTGGTGACAGTGGTAGAGGCACTTGCCCGGCTCCCCCGGTTCTGGGGATTTTCCCAGTAATCCCACGGCCTGGGGCAGTCTTCCTTGTTCTCATTTGGTACTTGGTTTACAGCAGATGCTCAATTAAGGCCTGTCCACAAATTGTTTGGACAAGACTTAGTTTTATGGTATGTGGCAAAACCTGGCATTTTGAGCAAGTCCTCCAGGGTTAAGTGGGAGGGCCCTGGGCAGCTTCATGTGCCTCAGCTGCAGGCTGGCAGCCACAAGGGATCAGTGACATCAGCCCTCCAAGGCCCCTTTGCAGCACGCCTTTGCCTAGCTAGGCGTGCTGCCCTGCCTCAGGGCTCACACTGACTGAGAGGATCAAGAACAGAACATCACTCAGTCCCGTAGGTCACCCGTGCCCAAGAAGAGCAACAGCCCCATCAATAAGTGCCGCTTTAAGCCCCAGAACAGAACGTGCAGATGCCAGTAGAAATACTGTATTCACTTTTGAGAACTATCCTATTTTAAGGCAAGTGTCACACAAAACAGTCAGAGATATACAGTGTTTGAACAATATTTACGACAAGTAAGGAGGAGAATAGCTGGGGAGACAGTTCCAGATAATGAGCAGGGAAATTTCTCCTGGTCGGGTTATGGCGCCTCCTCCCTCCTCTTCTCACCTGCGAGGGGAAGGGTCCTCTGGGTGTTTCTGGGCAGCACCTTGTCTAGCCAGCCACAGCCCTCTGCTGACTGCAGGGCCTAGGCCAGAGCACAGGGAGTTCAGTCAGTGAGCCTTACTGTCCAGCCCCCATCTCATTGTATGAAATTCATCTTTAGAAATGGGAAAACTGGGATGCCAGACTTGTATTTTAGTTGACTTCTACCCAAAATCCAACTTGCTTAGATTGGAGCTAAAACTTACACACACATACACATTGAGGTCTTCTACAAGTTCATGGAAAACATGTATTATGCAAAAACTATGCATGGATATTTTGCACCCAAAGAAATTCATCCTTTTATTTTTCCATAAACTTTTTTGAAGTTCCCCTTGTGTGTGTGGACGTGTATGCACGGAAGAGAAAAATTCAGTTTACTGAAGTCTGAAAAATAGCGTATGTTCACTTGCAGTCAGAATCAAACAACGTGATCATTTCCCCTTCAAAAACAGAGGGGTATTAGTGCCAAGCTCTAGCCAGGGGGTTAACATTTCCAGGCCCTCACTGCTCAGGTCCTGGGTTCTTCCCAGGAGAATGAATGGCTTGGCTGGGTCAGAGAGCTGGGCCTTCCCACTGTGCAGGTCAGCTCTGTGTCCTGGGGCTTTCTAGGCACATGCCCCATCTCTAAAATGGGGGAGGTGCCTGGTTGTGTCTGTTGCATCCATCAGTCCTTTCCCACTGCAACAGTGCGGACGGCAACACACACAGCAACACGGAAAACACGGGAATGAAGGAGGCCAACGTTTGGGGGCTTTCATGGCCTGTTGTGAGGGGCAAAAACCATGCAGAGGCCTGGCAGACAGACCTCAAGTACCCAGGTGAACTCAAGTACCCAGAAATGTGGTGGAGGGTGAGCTAGGTAATTCACTGAAACTTGAAGGACATCAGGATGAGGCCACGTTTGATGCCATCAAATAACTACAAAGAGAATGGGGGGGGGTGTGTGATAAAAGTTTTGATGAGCAGAGAACCCCCCCACAGAGAAAGCTGTCACTCAGGTAAAAGGTGAGGAGAGGGGCCAGCAGGCAGCGTGGTGGTTAAGGCAGGTGCTAGACTCCCACATGGACAACTATGACTCAACTCGGTGGCTTGAAAATCATGCAGGTATGCATGCGTGCCCACAATCCCAGGAGGAGAATGAAGAAATTGCAGTGTGGCCATACCCCTGGGAGTGATTTCCCACGTTCTCTCTTTCTCTTTCTCCTGCGAGCACACTCACCCTATGGCAAAAACAAAAAGCAAAACACAAAACGAAAGTGAGAAGAGCCTCCAGGTGAGAAGGGCAGTGGAGAAATGGTCATTTTGAGTTACAGTCTGCCTCACCATTTCCCTCTGAGGTAGGTGAGAGGCAGGTAACATTAGCTCCATTTTACAAATGGAGTAAAGTGAGGTCTCAGGATTTGCTATAGGCCACACATGGATACACACCCACAGCCACAGTCAAACGGCAGACTCTTGGGTCTCCCCCTCAGTGGCAAGACGCTCTTATAGAAAAGCTCCCTCACCAGATTACCTCTGAGTCAGCAGGCCGCCATTTACTGATGTTAAATTTGCTGTACCGACAGGAAAGGAATCACATCGGGAAGGTAGCCGAAGCCAGGGGCTGAGAACCTGGGAATGGGGGCACCCCACCCCGATTAGTGCACGGTGTACTAATTGTGTAGGGGGTGGTGTTCTCACTGCAATGAAGCATTTCAGGGAGGGTCTGGTGCAATTCAAATAGGCAGGTAAACCAACAAGAGTCCTGAAAGTGATGACTACAGCACACTGCCCAAGAGAAGGAGCTGCCCCTCTGGCTCCTGGCCCAGGGTGGATGGAGATAAAGCTGCAGTGTTGTCAGAGGCCCTGCCTCAGACACAGAAGGACACCCCAGGGCTGGGATGGGGACAGTTTTAGGTGTGTGTGTGTGTGTGTGTGTGTGTGGGATGGGGACAGTTGTGTGTGTGTGTGTGTGTGTGTGTGTGTCCTGTCCTCATTAGGGTGAGCCCCTCAACCTACCCACCCCTACCCCCAGCTGGTTATACTTCCTCTTCTTTCTTTGACCTCAGAATTTAAGTCCTTTCCTTAAACTACTGACCAGAGACCCCAACAATGCTAACACCCACCTGGAGTATTCTAACCAGACACTGCACATGTCTAATTCCCCAGCCACCAGTTGATCAGAAGCCACCCACACCTGGCTGTAGCATAAACTCTTTAAACACCCAAGTCACAGGTCAGCAAATTCTAGCCCAAGCTAAGAATTTGGGAATTTTTCTAATTGCTACTGTTCACGAGATGAAGCGACAGATGACTGCTCCCTTTGCTCTGCCCCGAGGGCACCTGATGGAGCTCTGACTGGTGACAATGAAGATTGTATCTGCATTTCCCCAAGCTTTAACCACAGGCACTAGTGAGCCCCCGTCTCTCCAAGCCTGGCAGCTTGAGGGGGCATTTCCAGATGGAGCCCTGGTGCACACCTGGATGTGGATCAAGCCAAAGTCAGTGTGTCCTGGTCCTTGGTAACCAGTTTCTGCTGGGGAGTCCAATGCCTGTCACCCTCAAACTGGTGACTGGGCCAGGCACTGCTCGGGAAGCTAAAAGTTGGTGAGGGCCATGCCCAGTGTTGGCAGCTGGGCCACCAGGGTGGGCACCACTGCCCAACTCCATCACAGAACTGACTCCTTGGATTCCAGTTCTGGGGCGCTGGTCACAGGGCCCACAGGGTTCTGGTGTGTCACCAGAGGCGACGTCTCCTCCTCAGACTTGCAGTTGGGGATGGCTTCCACTTTCACCTCACTCAGTTCCTGCTCCCCTTTCTTCATCGCCTTCTGGTTCAGGTGGTGGAGAATCCCTGCACCCAGGGCATCCCCTTCCACATTCACCACGGTGGTGGTGCGGTCCCTGGAGGGAAAAGAAAAAGGAGGGCCTTACATCCACTGTTACCGGGAGCTATGGGGAGCAGGCCCTGGAACAGGCAGGTGGGCAATGGAGACTGTGGCCATGGGGGCCGGCCGATTCCTGAAGCATACTGCTAGGGCCTAAGGCCTTACCTTCCCCTGGGTTTATTTTCTTTGTATGTTTTTTATTTCTGTAAAAGTAATAGACACAACTACTCAATGGTGGGCTGGGATTTGAACCCAGGCACTTGGGCTTAAGAGCTCATTTTCTTATCCATGTGTGCTATTGACAACATCAGTAACTCAGCACCTGCCTTTCCCTATAAAACAGGCATTATTTATATCTACAAACGATATCACAAGAGTCAAGGAAGCAAAAGACAATAAAAAATAAAAATAAAATAAATTTAAATGCTAATAAAAGATTCAAAGAACAATTCCTAGAAACTGTTTACAGGATCCTTGGAGGTGGTGCTCCATATCACACCTCCTCCTCCTCTAACTCTTCCTCTGCCGAACCCAAGCCCGGACCACTCACATCAACCCTGTTCATCCTTGCTCCTCTCACAGAAATCACTCACTGGATGATTTCGGGCCAGGGACAATTGTTCCTGAACAATCAGAGCTCCAACGTATCTTACACAGCCAACAACTTCCACAGCCTGATTCTTGTGCTCACTGGAGCTGCGCCGAGGGTCTCGGCCTTGGCTCCCTACTTTGCTGGACGCCGTAAGTTAAGTTCCCAGTAATGATATCTCACAGTCTTTCACGGTTCGTCGTGGGCATCGGATTCTCTTATTGTTCGATATTTTCTAACTCTGTATCTTGCCTTGTCAGCTTAGCCGTATGCTCCATCACAAGGCAGGAAGTGCGCCTGAAGTTTCTCTGTATGCCCCAGGCCTAGCAGAGTGCCAGGCTCCTGGGGAACTCAATATAAACGCTCTGCTTTCTTTGGTGTCCTTAGGACTTGCTACTTACACAATCCAGTCCACAGCCAGGATCAAAGAGAGGTCATGAGTGGGCAGCCCGATGGCCTCTAGGATGATGGCAATGGTGAGGACCCCTCCAGCTGGCACGCCTGCTGCTCCAACGCTGGATGCTGTGGCAGTCACTCTAGAAGATGGCAAAGCGGGATCAGCCATCAGCAGGTCAGGAGTGGCATGAGAAATGCAGAACACAGCAGCCACGGCTTGGAAAAGGAATACCACACCCCACAGATCCCACTGGCCAAGTCCTTGAGAGACGTTCCACTCTCTCTAAGTAATGGATTCACACTGTCCTCATTTTGCAAATGAGATGCCGGGTTGTGGCAAGACTGGTTTTTCAAAAGAAATCACAAGAAAAACCCAAAGTTTTGACCCGGGCCCAAAGATGAGGGAAAGAATATGAACTTACAGAATGGTGAAAATCTGTCCTGCGTTCAGCTCTACATTGTTGAGCTGGGCGATAAACACTGCGGCCACACACTGGAAGATGGCTGCACCATCCATGTTCACAGTGGCCCCGATGGGGAGTATAAACCTGCTGATCCTCTTGTCTACACCATTGTTTTCTTCAATGCACTTCATCATAGAAGGAAGAGTTGCTGAGCTACAAACAGAAAAAAACAACCAACCATGAGAACAGTCCCTCCTGGCCAGGCTAACATATTACTCATCTCAGATCCTGGAACAGAGTAATTAGCACTAGTTTCTAGCTTTCTTCTCTTGAAATAAATTATTTCAGAGTTTCTGACACAATATGGGTTTTGCCAACTCCCAAAGTATTCAAAATATGACTGTCTGGATTTACTTGTTGTATTATTTACTCGGATTCATCTGTTCCAAATATCTCACGTGTTAAATACTGTCTCTTGGTACAAAATGCCCTCCCTATGTACATCCCCTCCCTCAAATGCTTTTCCTCTGAAAAAGTAAAATGCAAACTATCTTTCCCCCTTTCAGGCCAAGAAGCAGAAATGGTTCTGAGAGTTTGGAAAAGATATGCAGAAACAAGCAGATAACTGTAAGAACGACACCTGCTCTCCCGTGGCTCGGCAGCTACACAGAGGTTAGCTGACGCAGCTGGGAGAGAGGTTTATTTTTGTCTAGGCCAGAAAAACTTCCTTCCCTAATTCTTTTTCACCACCATGACCTCTTTGTCATACAGTCATCTAGAATGGGAGGAAATGTGCAGTGGCAAAAAGTAATTGTGAGAATGAGACAACATGATGCCACCCTTTGAAAGTTTTCTTTAACACAAGGGGAAAGCCATGTGTTTGTGGAAGAAGTTCCAATGAGTAACGAGGTGCATCAGGTAATTCCCCAAAGAGGGCTGAGCGTACACCCCTCACCCTGGTGTCATCGCCTCATTTTCTAACTTACACATCCTAAAAAGGGAGAATTGGGTGAATGCCTGTCTAGAAACTTCTGCTACGCATTCTCTTGAGTTAGGTGGGCTGCCGGCTTTTACTCAGGCACAGATGTACCTAATTTAGGGTAAGGACTCCATAGCTGGACTACATAATGCCTGATTCACCTGTAAAGAGCAAGAAGAGAGCAGTAGATGGCATAATGGTTACATCGCTAGACTCCCACATAGTTGACTACAGTTCAAGCCCTGGACCGGCAGCTTAGAAACTCACACCGGGTGCATGTGTATGCACGCCCCAAATCCTGAGGAGACTGGAGAAGGGGTTGCAGTGTGAACATTCCCCCTGGGGTGATTTTTCACTCTCTGTCTCTCTAGCGAGCGCATGCACCCTATAACAAAAATCTCTCTCTCAAAAGAGCAGGGAGGGAATGAGGTAGCCTCAGTAGGTCAGGAGATAAAACCAAAACCCACGTCAGAGGACTGTGAGAGTTGTGGGGCTGATTATTTAAAAAAAAAAAAAAATCATATGAGACCAATTTAGAGTTTTCAAGGAATTAAAATATGTTGAGATGCTAGTTGTGCATCTACCACTGGGGTCACCTGATTTCATATTATTTTTCTCATTATTCATGATACAGCATGTGAGAATGAGGGCGAGTGAGAGATGAGTACCCTCCATAGGGTCTGGTTATGCCATGATCTCTTTCCTCCAGCCCTCTAGCCTACAGACTCTTGGGCAGTCACATGCATCACATGTTTAAGGCTGCCCAGGTTGGGATCTGAACTAACGCTGCTATGTGAGATCCAGCTTCCCTCTCTTTCTTTTAAATATTTTATTTAATGTTACATATTATTATTTTATAGTTTGATCAGAGAGAGACAGAGAGAGAGAAGGGAAAGTGAGAAAGCAAGTCACAGGTCCAGGACTCCATGGTCAGCCATGTGGGAGTCCAGCATCTTTAGCCATCACGCCACCTGCTGGCCCCCATCCAGCTTCTCTTGACCAGCACATTACCGCTGTGCCATCGAGCTGGCCTTAGTTCCATGTTAACATGGCTCAGAGTAGCCAAGAAGGGCACCTCAAACCCACTCACCTGGAGCAGGTAGCAAATGCTGTTGCAAATGGTGCAAGAAGGCCCAGGAGGAATTTGAATGGATTTTTTCGTGTGAAAACAAAATAAATAAGTGGCAGAATAAGTCCTCCATGAATAACATGGCCTAATATAGATGCCAAGATATATTTCCCCAGGCTGGTCACCAGCACAACGATGTCCTTCATTTCCACAATCTTGCTTCCTACCAGGAACATGATGCCCACAGGTACATACCTAGGGAGGAAGCACAGGACACTTGTCAGTAAGTGTGATACGGTTGAGGCTGGGAGGTACAAGCCTTGCCTGACACAGAAAGCAAGGACTTTCAACTAGGCCATCTTCATCTCTCCTTAGAATCACCCTGAGGAACAGAAAAGGATGGAGGCATACTATCCCCAATTGAGAGGCTATGAAACTGAGTAAAATGAAGATGGTCACTCACCATGGGTAACGGAGTTAGGACCAGAACCAGACTTCTTTCCCTCTGGGTATATTATGTTCTTAACAGATGGATACTACCAACCACATGAAGGTATAGGCAGCTAGGCAAGGAACCCAAGATCAAAGCCTCGGGGGCTGTGAGCTTGACTTGGCTTTGCTCAGGCTTGTTCTGAGAACTCAGGAACACAAAACAGCAATAGCTGTTTTATAGCATTATGATACACGATTGAGCCAAAGCTGGGACTTTTGGGATGGTTTCAATTCTTTGTGGTTTGGAAAACATGATTCCATGGGAAAAAGTCATTAACAATGACACCGTCAACACTCCTGGAGCATGAAGAATTTTTCAAAGGCAGAAGGGAATGAATGAGTTATGGAAGTTACAGAGAACAAAAGTTCATTTCAAACTTAATGTTAATCCAGAAAGAATTTTATAACTTTTTATTTGAAAATTTTAATCATGTAGGCAATATGTAATAGAATTCAAATTCCAAGAGGGACAAAAGGGTGATTTACTATGAAGTCTTCTTCTCACCTCTGACCCCCAGGCACCTAGTTCTTCCCTCCCTAGAGAAAGCAAATGTCACTTGTTTCTTTTCTTTCTAGTGATAGTCTAAATGGGATTATTCATTTAAAATCCCACAGTAATAAATAGATTCTTTCTAAAACAATTACACATTAGGCGAAAATTCTCTTTTGGCATTACTCTCAAGCCAGACCCTTCCTCAGATAACCACTCCTATTTCCTATGAATTTAGACAGATAGGTATATATTTAAATTTGTATGTTTACTTTCACCCCACATTATGTCTTTGAAGTCTCTTCATGCCAACACCTAGAAATCCACCCCATTTTTTAAAAACCAAGGTAAAATATACAACACACAAAGATGACCATTTTAACCTTTTTTAACTGTATATTATCTAATTGGTATTATGGAAACTTATATTTTTATATAACTATCACCACCTTCCAGCTACAGAACTTTTCAACCAAACATAAACTCTGTACTCATTAAGCAATACCTCCTCATCTAACCCTCTTCCCCAACTCCTGGTAACTACTGTTCTATATTCTTTCTACAAATTTCTTTATTCTAGGTACTTAAAAATGGAATTATACAATATGTGTCCTTCTGTGTTCAGTTTATTTCACATAGTATAATGCCTTCAGCACTCATCCCATGTTGTCAGCATTTCATCTCCTTTTAAGGCTGAATAATATTCCATTATATGTATGTACCATATTTTCTTTATCCATTCATCCATCAGTAGGCATCCGGGTTGTTTCTACCTTCATTTTATTATTTTCAAATATTGTCTTCAGAAATGGAAATACCGCAGTGCTCTTGCCACTGTCCTGCTGGTGGACATTTAAATTACTCCCAGATTGTCTTTCTTTTTCTTTTTTGATAGTCAGTAGTATCTAAATACTTATTTATCCAGGATTTACCCGGGCTCTTTCCTGGTAAGATTCAGAGTATTTTTATATGCAGATATTTGTGTAATCCAATCAGTTAGGGAAGAAGGAAGAGTAAGGCAGACAAAACTAAAGACACATGAATGCTAGAGGAAATATATTATAAATTGTTTTCTTTCTCGGTTAAAGAAAAAGACCCTTAATATCCTACTCATAAGCAAAATGGGATAGAAATGTCATCTTTAATCTGGCATGTATGTATATCTTCTCATTCCAGACGTCCAGTTGATTTGGGTGGTATTACGGTCCACCAGCAGAAAACCTACAAGTGAAAACGAGCACCAGGAAGGCAGAAGTGTGCACTAAAGGGAGCTGGGGAAGAGGCTGTGGGTGGCGACGGCCGGGGGCCTGGGCGCTCAGTAGAAGCAGACCGTGTGCAGGAAGGTCCTGCCGCTCTTCTCCTCGAAGTCCTGCAGCAGCTCGGAGATCTCGTTCTCCATGTCCTCGGCGTGCTGGAGGCACTGGCAGAGCTCGCAGATGAGGAAGGCGCCCAGGGTGGCCTCTTCGTGGTTGTCCTGGATGTCCACGTTGACCACGTGCACTGGCTGGCAGGTCTCCTGCTCTCGCGAGCTCAGCTCCTCCACCACCTGGTCGTAGACACGCTCCTCGCACGTGACGATCAGGTCGAACACGTCCCTGCAGCTCTGGAACCTCTCCGGCGCGGCCTTGATCCTCTTGTTTCTGTCCAGCATGTGTAAGAGGCCGTTCTGGGTGTAGAGCTCCTTGTCCTTCCTCAGGAGGTCGTGGTACATCTGGTCGTAGGTGGTTCTGAAGTCGTAGACGTTGGGCTTGTCGGGTGCGGCCCCCGGCAGCTTCACGTGGGTGCCGGTGCCGAAGGAGCGCACGCTGAAGCCGCGTTTGCTGAGGATGCTGTGCGCCTCCATGCTCCGGTTCTGGTTGCTGGAGCACACCACGGCCACCCGCAGCGGCAACGGCATGGCGTGGCCTCGCGGGCTCCTCCACGGCGCCCCGCGGCCCTACGGGCTGTGGCCTGGCCTCGGGGCAAAATGATTGCACGCGGCCGGAAGTGAGTGAGTGTCGCAGCTCCGTTGGCCGGAAGTGCATGCGTGGCCCGCACCACCGTCAACCCAGGCAGGTCTGAGCTGCCAAGTTGGGCTTGCCCCAGGTTTTCATCTTCGCAAACAACGTTACAAACATGTCTATTTGTGCCCAGATGCCTGTGTTCTTTTGGTAGGGGCACCAAGAAGTGGAACTGCTGAGCTATGGGGAATACAAGATTGTTAGTAGTTACTACCAAATTGTTCTCCAAAGTGGTTGTACCATTTCACATTCCCACTAGCAGTCCAGAAGACATCTGGCAATGTCCGGAAGACAGTTTTAGTTGTTACACCTTTGCAGGTGCAGCACTACTGGCATCTAGTAAGTGGAGGTCAAGATGTTGCTAATCAACCCATAGTGCTCAAGACAGCACCCTACAACAAAAAATGATCAGCCCAAAATACCAGAAGTGAGTGGTCGAGAAACTACCTTCACCCTCATCAATGTCTCACAAAAACAATTTTCATTTCTCTCATTAATTTAAAAAACTTAAAAAAACTTTTAGACGAATTGTTTAATTTTATTTTTTTATTCTTTAATTTGACCAGAGAGAGACAGAGAGAAAGAGTGAGAGAGAGAGAGAGAGAAGACAAGTGAGAAAGCAAGATGCCCGGACTTAGACTGTGAAGACAAGTCTAGCACCTTAACCACCACACTACCTGCTGGCCCCACATTTCTCTCAATTCTCCTATAATGAGGTTGGGCTTCCCTTAAAATGGTTTACTGATCATTCAGGTTTCATTTTCTATGAATTGTCTGCTCATATATTTTGTCCATTTCTAATAGTTTATTCAGTTTTAGTTTTTATTTTCTCAGTAATTAGAACTCTATTTCTATGTACATAGTATGTAAATATGCATCAATAGTTTTCAGTGTCTTGATTTTTAATAAAAGACACTTTGATTCAAAGTATCTTTTGCATACAGACTTAGTATTTTGATGTGGTCAAATTTAGCAGCTTTTCAAGGCTTTTAGTTTTTGTATCTTGTTTAGCCTCTACCTGCTGTATTTTCTTTGCATACTTTTAGAGGACTCCATTCTGTTCTTCCTTCCTCTCTGGTTTGTTTAATCGAGGAGCTGGCAAAATGGGTTTCTGTAAATAAAGTTTTATTGCTATATAGATATGCTCATTTATTTCTGGATTGTTCGATTGCCTTTGCCCTACAATGGTAGAGTTGGATAGCTGTAATACAGACTGTATGGGCTGCTAAGTTTATCCATCCAGTGTTTAAAACATCTAGAAGTTATTGATACTTTTATGAATAGTGTAGGGTAAGCAGGTGCTTTGGTCTTTGAGTGGACAATTAGTGAAGGAATAAAGGCAGAAAGAGTGAACCAGTGAACCTCTCTGCCACACTTGGTTTAGATCTCTTAACCTTTTAAGCCATTTTAACCTCCAATTCTGTGTAACATGCACTTTATTGGCCATAGATCTCCTACTGAAGTTAAATATTCAGTAGGACCTGCCTTATCAAAAACCTGCTTACGTGACCTGTACATGGAATTGAAGGAATGACTAAATTGGTTTCCAGACTGAAAACAAAAATCCTGATAAAGAAATACCACTTTCTTGAGTAGGAATTTCTTCAATCCAGACTAAAGAAGGATTGTAGATTTTTAAAAAAAGAAAACAAAAAACAGGAAAAGAACTTGACATCTGATGAAAAAACTTTCCTTTGGAAATTTCAGTTCTCTCCCAGAATAGCAAACGTCACCTGAAGTGCCATGTTTGCAATAATGGAGTCAGATTCTGGAATTTTCCAATTAAGCAGCAAAAATAACACTGATAGTGGCTCTTAAATTGGCCTCTAGACCAGGGGTCCAGAGCCCCTGGACCATGGACCAGTACTCCGGACTGTTAAGGACCAGGACACACAGCAGGAGGTAAGCTGCAAGTGAGTGAGCAAAACTTCATCTGTATTTACAGCTGCTCCCCATTGCTCACTTTACTGCCTTAGTTCTGCCTCCTATCAGATCAGAGTGCTGTTAGATTCTCATAGGAGCAGGAACCCTACTGTGAACTGTGGATGCAAGAGATCTAGGTTATGTACTCCTTATGAGAAGTTAATGCATGATGATCTGAGGTGGAGCTGAGGCCATGATGGTATTGCTGTGGAGTGGCTGCAAATACCACTTTATGGTGAGTAGTATAATTATCTCATTATAAATTACAATGCAATAATACTAGAAATAAATGCACAATAAATGTAATATGTTTGAATCATCTCAAAACCATCCCCTGCCCTGGCCCATGGAAAAATTGTCTTCCATAAAAATGGTCCCCCATAAAAGGATGGGGACTGCTACTCTAGACAATTGCAAACGTCTCCTAAAATCAGTCCAACAGTCACCCAATGTCATTTTGAGAGAGAAAAATTCTGGGATCCTTAAGGCTTGATGAGGGTTGATGGTAAGGAAAATGCTTTGTGTGTGAAAGTATAAACTATTTCTTAACAACTAATGGATAGAAGTTAAAACCCACAGAGGTCTGGGTTGGCGAAAAATGGCAGGAGAAAGCTTATGAGGACCAGCAACTGGAATTGGTATGATTTCTGAGAAGTTACTTTGAGGGAGCTGGTCAAATTTTTACTCTTTAGCCAGAAATCAGTCTAATAATTTTTATTAAATAATCATCATTTCACTAATATTACACAAAGAAACATTTATGAATTAAAAGCCTAAGTAAAAGAAGACCATTCCGAGTTTATACATACATGGGTGAAGCTGGACTTATATTTCATGTTGTGAAATACTATAGGTAAGTGTTCCTTTGAAGCTTGTCTATCACTTTAAGACAAATGAGCTTTATTTTATGCAGCAGACAGCAAACTGATGGAACTCATTGCCCCAGAGGAGAATATGGGCATCCCAAATGATATAGATTGATGGTGGGAAACCCAAAAATACAACACAGTGATAAAACCAAGGGGCCAACGTGGGCACCAAGGAAGTTACTGGTAACTATGGTGTATGTCTGAGTCTCTGAAGCTCTGGACAAGACAAAAAATCATCTTCACTTCCATCGCCCCCTATACCAGGATGTCAACTGCATACAGAGCACTGAGCCAGGCTGCCCCACAGGAGTGACCTAGAATGTCAAAGACAGGTCCTTTTCTGGTGGTAGAAGGAATGAAAGGGAGAGTAGGTAGCGGGTGACACTCACCACATAATCCATGACACCAGCACCATTGTCGCCTCATTGAAGGCATTGAAGAAACGGATGAGCTCTTCTCCTTCTGAGCCTAGTTTCTTAAGGGCTACTCCTAACATCAGAGCAAAAAGGACCAGTCCTAAAATGTTCATCCCTTCAATTTCGGTGCTGATGGGGATCTGCAAGGTCAGAGGGGACAAAATGGTCCAAGTTTATAACAGACGAGTGAAAATTTAAGGTGTATTTGTTTGATGTTCCCACCAAATGGAATCACTGTGCCCGGGGTGAGAAAAGGCTCATATTTTCTTTAACCTTTAGAATTTTCGCAAATGGGGGGACCAGCAGTTAGCGTAATGGCTATGTCACTGGATTGCCATGTAGTCGACTGTGGTTCGAGTCCCTGACCTGGTGGCTTAAACTCACACTGGGCGCGTGTGTGTGAGTCCCCAAGATCCCGAGAGGAGAACGGAGGAGAAGGGATTATGGCGTGGCTTTTCTTGAAAATCTGGCAGATTTTCAAGCCGCCAGACTGGGACTTGAATTGCAGTTGGCCATGCGGGAGTCCACCCCTGGGGGAGTGATGTCTTGCTTTCTGTCTCTCCGTCTCTCTGTCTTTCTGGTAAGTGCACACACTCTATAGCAAAAACCTCTAAAAAAAAAAAAAAGAAAAAAAGAAAGAAAGAAAGAAAAAAAGAAAGAAAGAAAGAAAGAAAGAAAGAAAGAAAGAAATTTCACAAAGGGGCAGGGACTTAAGGAGAGGTGGAGTCTGAGAGTACAGAAAATTAACAAGAAAAATTTCACCTAGTTGTTAACCCTGAAAGTGGTTCAAAATGACGTAGGTTAAGTTGGAGAGTAGTGTGCAGCAAGTGAGGGGCTGGATACCACCTCGAAGAGTTGCTTTTAAAAGAAGAGCCAGTTGGTAACATGTTCCTTTAGATCATAAGTCAATGATTATAACTTTAACTTCTGTCAACAAACTTTTTAGTGTTAGCCTCTTTTTTTTGTTGTTTCAAAAGGTGCATGTGCTCTCTAGAGAAAGAGAGACAGAGACAGTAAGAAGGAAAGTGAGAAATCACTCCCCCCTCCAGGGGGAGATGGCTGTACTGCAATCCCTTTTCCTCCATTTTCTTCTTGGGGTCTTGGGCATGCAGGCACATGTGCCCAGTGCGATTTTCAAGCCGCCAGACTGGGACTTGAATTGCAGTTGGCCATGCGGGAGTCCAGTGACGTAACCACTACACCATCTGCTGGCCCCTATTGTTAGCCTCTTACAGTGACTGTCTAGCTGAAAATTTCACAGAAGATTTTTTTAGCATCAGCATGGACTTTTTCAGGATGCTCTTTCTTAAATAACTGACTCAATATATCCTTTTTCCCCCCAGCAATGCTGAGTCTTACTAATATAAGCACATAATTAGACAAACATTTTATCCCATCAAAACACCTTATGTGATTTGGAGCAGGACACATATATCAGCATATAAAAACGGAAAGAGCACTTTCTCATAGGTCTGAATTCTGGTCCTGGTTCTGGGATTAACTAACTTCTCTGAGCTTCAGGGTCTTCATCTATAAAATATATTAGAAGCTTATAACTGTTTTTCTTTAAGTAGAACTTTTCCTTCAGTCAAACAAGGGCTGGTAGAACTCAGAGCCCTTCAGTTCTGGGGTAGAGAGGTATACGTGGGGTCGGGGGGCAAGGGTGGAGGGCCCTCCTTCACCCCTTGGGCGTTCTGTGGCACAACGTGAACATTACAGGCCTGAATCACCCTTGAGGTCCCCCATCCTTTCCAGCTCTATTGGGAAGGCTAGGGCTGAGCCAGTGTCTGGCAAACACGGGTACTCAAAATGACCACAAATACGCTTTCTCGAGTCTTCTCTGTTGGGTCATTGGGAAAGTCATGATGCATTTTTGTGCAGAAAAATAAGTCATAACTTTCCTGACAACCTAATAATTTCCAAGTTAACTGGAGACACCTCAGTAACAGACACCATTCATCTGAAATGTGTCAAGAACCATCAATTCAAATATCATAAAAACTGATGGGGGTAGTTTTTCATTTCCTTCTAACTTTTCATCATAGAAATTTCCAAACCTAACTGAAAAGCTAAATGTAGGCTGACAACCACCATATACAACACTCTTGCTTATACTGATATACATTCTTCTAGAGGAGCAGTAGTATAATAATAATTAAGGAAGATGGGCTTTGGAACCTAACTTCCACCACTTCCTAGTTGTGTGAGTTTAGGTCAATACTTAACTACTCTGTGTCTCAGTTCCCCATCTATAAAATAGGAATAAAAATAATAATATGTAAGACTGCTTTGAAGATTAAATATGTCAGTATATGTAAAGTACTTAGACTATGCCTGGCAAGTGAAAACTAATAAGAAGTAAACTAATAATTGCTAATTAATATTAGTACTATTTTAATGGAAGGGGACCAGCATATAGCATAATGGTTATGTTGCTGCACTCCCACATAGTTGACTACAGTTCCAGTCCTGGACCCAGCAGCTCAGAGCTCACACTGGGTGTGTGTGCGTGTGTGCCCAAACTCCTGAGAGGAGAATGGAGGCGAAGGGATTGTGGCATGGGCATCTCCTCTGGGGAGTGATTTCTCACTTTCTGTCTTTTTCTGTCTTTCCAGTTAGTGTATGCACCCTATAGCAAAAATCTCTAAAAAGAAACAAACAAAACCAAAAACTATTTCAATGGAATATTTGTTGGAAGTATTTCAGCAGTCTAGGTTTACTCCATATGGAGTATGTTTGTGTGTTCTTCTTACGTTATTGTAATCCCTTAGACAGTAAGACTTCAGAGTATCACTATTTGGTCCCAGGACAGGACATACGGAAGCTGCGTTGGGGACAGTTTTAAGAGCTGTGGGAGAGAACTTGGATTTTGTGTTTGCACTACTGCTAGCTTACAGACCGACTCTGGAGAAGTCAACACTACCAGAATTCTACAAACTGAAAGGCTAGCACCTGAGGTCGACCTGAAGGTTGTCAACTCTTTATGTCCGTGTCCTAAGTCCTAACTGAAATTGAAGACCAAGAATCAATGCAAGCAGAGAATTTATCTACCAATGGAAAGTGTTTTCCCCCCCCCCAATTGCCAGAGGGTATGTGTACTCATGAGAGAGACAAAGGGAGAAACAGAAGGGAAAAAGTACCCCAATGGGGTGTGATCATGTCACAATCCCTTTTCCTCTGTTTTTCCATCTCATCAGGATTACTCGCTGGCATGCATACCTGCCCAATATGCCAGGACCAGGATTCAAACTGTGGTCAGCTATGTTGGGTTTGGGGGGTTTGGTTCCTTTAACCATGAGGCTATTGGGCTCGCCCCAAAAGCTGTTTATAGCAGGTGTGCAATTCCCCAGTTGCATTCAAGGTCAGGGGATTCCAGATAAGTGACCATTGACTTGAGGACAATGACAATGATTTTGTCAATGAAATGAAGACATTTCTGTAGAGGAGACTAGCAGTGGATGGTTTAATCAGGTGTGCAGGGCTGGGACATACCTTAGCAGACTTGGCACTCGGTGCGATTAGGGACCATAGACACAACTATAGACACAACTGAGTTGCCTCCTGAGCTGTGCCTTTTTTGGATGTGTCTTTGCATATTTTGTTCCCCTGACCTAAACCACTCTTCTCACAGGTCTCCTCATTCTTCCTCCCTCACCTTAACAGACGGGCTCCCTGACTACCCTGGTAAAATAGCATCCATCACTATGATGTAATACACACACGCTTTCTCGGTCCACTCACCCTGTTTGCTTTTTCTTCTTAGGACCCATCACTGGCTGACATATACTGATTTATTATATGGTTCCCTCCACTAGAACACGAGCTCTGTAAGATCAGAGCTCTGTCTCTGTGGAACACCCAGGCACACACAGGTTGCCAAATCAATCGCTATTTGTCTGATGGGTTAATGATTCAAATAAGACCCAGAAGGTGTGTCTCTGTGACAGGTTATTTCCCGAACTCAAAGTGGGTATGGCAGATAGAACCAGGGGTCAGAGCAGGGACCTTTCTAAGGCGTTCTTGGGCCTCTCGGTTAAATGAGATGTCTCTCTTGTTAACGAAGGGGCAAAGATTTTTTTTTTTCTTTTTAAAGAAAGGAGATGTTAGTTCCAATTGGATTTAGCAGACTCTCTGAGGATTTCTGGGTTACAGGCATTTAGCTTATTGGTAAATGACCAAAAGAGTAAACCTAATCCCTGTGCTGGACTGTCTATTCAAACTCCAAAGTGTTCAACCCTGAATCACACATGCTCTTTCAATGAAGAAACATCATTTGCTTATAGACATTTTTCACAAGCCATCTCATGACGAGTTTTACCTTTTCATGGGTTAAGTTTCCAGAGCTGGTGTTGTGGGGCATGACTTTGTAGTCAGTCGCATACTGTGAAGAGGAAGAAAACCCACTGTTAGTGCACACCCCGAGAACCGAGGCACGGACAGGCTTCTTGTGAGCTCTCATCATTCACTCCAAGTGTTCTGGGCATTCTCCCACAAGGCTGGCCTGACCAGGCCTCTGAGGACTGGACAAAAGTTCCCCCAAGACAAAAGCAGCATGTACTTCAGGGGGCCTTTGGGTTATTAGGGACCCAAGGAAAGGGAGAATTTCCTTGTGCTCCTTAGGCAATGGTTTGCAGCAAGTCTGCATGATTTCC